TTTAAGCAATATTTACAATTGTCGCACACATACACACTATTATTTAAACCCACATAAGTGACATTTCACCTTGCAGAAATCAAATTGTTTTATTTCATAGACAGACCTTGACTACAAGCTTTCATATACCAAATCACTGCATGGTCACTCCTTACAATTTTATCTCACTTATCACATTGAACAAGCAATCTTAAAATTCACTTTGTGTATATCAAACGTATATAAATGCATGTTATTTGTTGAAATCTATAACTATGTTGTTTCTCTTTGATTTCTTCCAATTCAATTGCCTTCAAATGTGGCTCTAGGAATTTGGAACCAAAAAAAGCAATACAAATTTTAACCAAATTTAAATTATGAAACCCAATTATTTGCTTGACGGTTAAACACACATTCGTACCTATATATTGGTTCCATTACCTGTATTATTTCCTTTATTAATGTTATACCATACCTATGGACTCTAATGGGTATGCCCCAATCTTTATAAATACAGTGGAATATACTGTATGTTGGATTCACTTGTGTTTCACCTTGAGTCACTTCTAGCTCACCACTAGCATTTGATTACTTACTACACACCGTTGGCAAATCTTGTATGTTGTTTCTGTTATAAATATTATCATTTGATTTCCAACTTTCTTTTTGGTTATTCGTATTCAGTAACTTTTTCTTAGATTACAACAAAAAAGGGAGTTAGTTAAACCGTAATATCACAAGTATTCTGGTATACTGGTAGTCATTTGGATTCACCTTGAGTCATTTCTAGCTCACCACTAGCAATTGATTACTTACTACACACCACTGGCGAATCTTGTATCTTGTTTCTGTTATAAATATTATCATTTGATTTTCAACCTTCATTTTGGGTATTTGTATTGAGTAATTTTTTCAGAGTTTACAACACTTTATTACTGGCTTCCTTGCCAGAATAGCTTTAAAATTTTCAAAAATGCCACTTGTTCTTTTGTTCAAATAAATTCCACATATTTTTTCCTTAAAACAGTGAAAGTTTCAGTCAACTCGGAACATTGCTCTACATATTGTCTGCAGAAATTTACAAGTCCAAAGAAAGATTTCAATTCTTTTTTGTTTTTAGGTACTTCAACTTTTAATATTTTGTCAATTAATGATTGATCTGGAGATATGCCTTTCTTAGATATGGAATATCGCAAAAATTATATTTCTTCAGTGTTGTGCACACAAATCTTTTTGCTAATTGTTAATCAAGCATTTTTTAATTTATTCAAAACCATACTGGTTTTCCATTTTAATTCTTTGCTGTTAATAACATCAACACAAATATTATCCTGGTAGCATATTGTACTTTTTATGTTGCTCCCAATAACTTGCTCTACAGCCTTTTGAAAAATAACACTTGCGATTTTAATTACATATGGTATTTTTTTCTCATCTTAATAAGCCTATTGGTGTGTTTATTGTTGTGAATTCTTTAAAGTTTTTGTCAATAGGTATTTGATGGTGTGCTTACTTTAGATTAGTTTTAGATAATGTTTTCATACCCACAAGATCGTTCAGAGCCCATTCTTTATTCTGGATAACATATGAGTCTGCATATATTTTGTGGTTTTTACACCTATTTCATTGTCATCACAAATGTGTAGATCCGCATCAATCTTTCTTAAAATTACTAACAGGGAGGCCCATTTGCTCCCTCTTGGCAGAATACATTCAAGTAGATCTTGTTCTAGTAATTTTCAAAATTTTTTCCATAACTATTGGTAGTAGATGAACTGGCACATTTCGTTCTTCAAAATATGAGGGGGAGATATTTTCCTTTAGTCGTAACTTTGCTTCATTCCAGTTCCCTCTACCTTGACTTCGTTTATCAATTTTGTCAAATTTATGTTCAATACATCATTTTCTATTAAACCATGATTCTTGTGGTGAACAACCCTGTAGAAGTAAGCAAGCCAGAGTGGCTTGCATCTGGTGCATAGGAAAATAAGGGTCTTACCTTAACATGCGGCACGTGACATCAGCAAGTTTGCTTCGTGAAAATGGCATTACTCTCCCATCCAGCCATTCTAGCAGTATGTGCAGTGATAAGGGTTTTTTGTACAGTTTGGCATGCTTCCACCAATAGAAAGTCGTGTGCTGATTGGTCAAACTGGAGGAGGCAATTTGCCTTTGTAACCGAGAATAACAGCGAAGAACGCTGATTGGCTGGTGAACTGTGCTGTTGGCCTGATAAAAGAGTGCTGGAGCAGTGAAAAAGGGGATAGAAACGTTGGCTATATGTAGTGATGTGTGAAGAAGGAAGCCAGGACTGTGAATTGAACCAGCGATATTGTGATTTGTCCAAGTGATGTTGCGGCAATACAGACTTATTTAAACTACAATTCTTTTCACAGTTTACTACAATAATTGGTAAGACACGAAACTTAATTTTTAGTTAGGCTTAAAAATAGCTTATTGTTTTTATCATGGATCTGTCAAACTGATTCAATTGGACAAGGCTTTTCTTTAATCTTGGTTTTTCTAATTTCTTCCAGAAATTTCTGGGTATCAACATCATGTCACTTCCCATATCTCATTGCATGTTCAATAAAAAAATTATTAATTTGAATTTTTAACAAACCTTTTTCATTCTTCCTTTTCAATGAAAAGATGTCTATACTTATTACCTCTTCATTTTGTTGGACTGTCTCTACATTTTTCTTTTTGAATTTACACATACATTTAAAATGATTCATTTTGAAACACTTTTCACACATTTTTTTATATGCCAGGCATTTTTGTTGTTCTCTTTGATGTCAATATCCATAAAAAGTACACATTATTCTGTCTTTTTTCTTTATCACGTATGTGTCCATTTCCTCTACTGGATCCATAACATTTGTTCTATTATCGTTTTTAATCAATTCTTGTTGCTGAATAAATTTGGCACACAGTTCTAGTGACAACTTTCCCAGTTCTAAATGCATTAGAGTCATTTGCTGATACTCCTCATTTTGAAGACTATTTACCAATTTCATTTGGATCAAATCCTCTTCAACTGACTGATTTCTGATCAGTTTTTCAAATTCACAATATTTAGTGGCCTGTTTTAAATGAAGAACATATTCAATAACTAGTTCATTCATTTTTCAAGAAATATTCATAAACTTAGCTCCCTCTGCATTCAATAGTTTTTTTTTGGGTGTTATGTTTTTAACTATTAGTTGACTTATATTTTCAAATGTCATTTCCTCCAAATGTCTTGTATGTGTAATTACTGGTAATTTTATAATGGCCTCACAACCAGTACTTACCAAGAAGAGATCAATTATTTGGTTTTCTCTTTCAACTGATTTCAAATCCTTCATCTTTTTTGTTCTAGTTATAGCTGCTAGTATCCTTAGCCATGCTTGTACATATTCAAAATTATTCAGTGACAATTGTTCATTCGTTTTTTTAGATATTGGTGATATCATTGTAGTGTAGTGTTACTGACTCATAGGAAGTATTATGCACCCAACTGACTCATGGGTAATAGCACTAGCTATTTATAGTATTTGTGACTTCATATGCAAATGAGTCAGCTCACCAATAGAAACTGAATATATGAAATATATTCTTATAATATTCAAGACACACAAAAATTCAATGTTTTGAGTCATCAATTCATCCCCAGACAAGAGATTAAGGTATTTCTTCACACTTAGACAACTCCAAAAAGTAGTCTGGTGATTGGATACTGAAGTACCTTGCCCACTGTACAAGAATGGTTGCACCTTGATGTCTTCAGTAATGATGAAGAGACTGAGTTATTTTGGCTTTTCATCTTTATAAAATACATTCTGTTGTAACTTGCATCTCCTGCATGAAGAAGGCTTGATTTCTGTTGGAATGATGTAGTCTTGATTTCTATTGGCATGGTGAAGGTTTGGCCTCTATTGGCATAAAGAAGGCTTGATTTCCATTGGTATGAAAACAGCTTGATTTCCATAGGAATGTAGTTTTTGTACTTGAAATATGACTTATGCAAAAAAGGCATTGGTCAAATTTCTTAGCAAGAAAAATGATCTTTTCTGTTCCAAACTTTTTCCAAAGCAATTGGATGTTTTTTCTCTGATTTTTCAGTAGTTTTCCACATTGTTTAAAGTTAGTCTCATACATCAATTTTTAACCTCTAGGTTTTTTTTGTTATTGAATTAAAAACTACCTTTTAACCTTGGTAAACAATTAGTGACATATGTTTTCACCTACTTCAACTTTACCAAGAGGTTTTGTTATCCACTGCATCAATACGTTTTTTTTTTTTACAGTGTATGACAGTTAAATATGAATTTTATAGTCATCCATGTTTTTCATTTAAAATGCAATGAAATTATTAATTTTGTAATTTCTTAAGGAGAATACCAACGACTAGATAAACATTAAAGACACTTCTAAGATTACCCTAACATTGTGCCAAAAATAATGTTTGGACTTTTGCAGAAGTTGAATATAAATGAATATTTATTAAAATAATTAAAATAACAATTATCACCAACAACATTTAAAGAAATTTTCTCTACGAAAGTGAAACTATTTTAATTCTAAATTGTCAAATTTTATCTTAAGTAAATCAAACAACTGGCATAATTTTATGGGAAAAATCAGCATTTATATATACGTGTACCTATTTACATTTCTACATGTAAACATTTGCATACATATCGATATACATATTGTTATATACTGTCATATACAGAAACATTTAATTTAAATATATATGTAGTACTTAAAGACACACACACATGTATGTATGAATATAAATATAATTATTTATAATTACATGTATATATACCAACATCCAGTAACAGAAAGATGTTTGTAGATATATCTATAAACAAATACACACACATATTCTTATATATATATATATATATATATATATATATATATATATGTTTATATGCATATAGAAAGATATGCATACATATATATGGCAACTGTCTTTAAAGAAGTGTATGATACAGGTAAATGGAAACAGAAAAGGGAGAGAGACTGATTCATAGAAACACAATTTGAGAGAGAGCAATGACGATACATGTCACAAGAGAGGTGGGGAATAAAAGTAAAAAGACAAACAGTGAGAGAGAGTGAAAAAGAGACAAAGACACATTGAAAGAGAAAGTGATGAAGTAACTGAGAGAGAGCAACAAAGACTGAGAATGATAAAATGATAGAGAGAAAGAAACAGTGAGGAATGGAGAGAGAGAGAGAGAATAAAGTAGACAGAAACAATACAAGATGGAGAGAAAGAGGAAATGGTGAAAGACTAAAACATTGAGAGCAGGAGAGAATAAGCAATGAAGAGAGATAAAGAAACAGTGAGGGAGAGAGACACATAGAGTGATGAAGAGAGACACATAGAGTGATGAAGAGAGACACATAGAGTGATGAAGACAGAAGGTGAGAGTGATGAAGACAGATACAGAGGGGGAGAAAGTGACAAAGACAGATACAGAGGGGGAGAAAATGACAAAGACAGATACAGAGGGGGAGAAAGTGACAAAGACAGATACAGAGGGGTAGAAAGTGACAAAGACAGATACAGAGGGGAAGAAAGTGATGAAGACAGAGAGGAAGAGAGTGATGAAGACAGAGAGGAAGAGAGTGATGAAGAGAGAGAGTGATGAAGAGAGACACAAAGAGGAAGAGAGTGATGAAGAGAGACACAAAGAGGAAGAGAGTGATGAAGAGAGACACAAAGAGGGAGAGAGTGATGAAGAGAGACACAAAGAGGGAGAGAGTGATGAAGAGAGACACAAAGAGGGAGAGAGTGATGAAGGCATAGGATGAGAGTGATGAAGACAGAAGGAGAGAGTGAAGAAGAGAGACACAGAGAGGGAGAGAGTGGTGATGTTAGAGAGAGAGGGAGAGAGTGGTGATGTTAGAGAGAGAGAGGGAGAGAGTGGTGATGAGAGACACAGAGAGAGAGAGAATAATGAGCAGAGGGACAGAGTGAGAGAAAATGATGACAATACACAGAGAGCGAGAGAGAGTGATGGAGACAGATACAGAGTGGAAAAGAGTGATGGAGACAGACACAGAGAGGGAGAGCGTGATGAAGACAGACACAGAGAGGGAGAGCGTGATGAAGACAGACACAGAGAGGGAGAGCGTGATGAAGACAGACACAGAGAGGGAGAGCGTGATGAAGACAGACACAGAGAGGGAGAGAGTGATGAAGACAGACACAGAGAGGGAGAGATGGAGAAATTGATGACAACTGATACAGAGAGAGAGAGAGAGAGATTGATGGTGACAGACACAGAAAGAGAGAGAGAGAAAGTGATGAGGACAGCTAGAGTGAGGGAGAGAGTGATAGTGAGGAGAAAAAGAAAATTATGATGACAGAGAGAGGGTGAGGCTATAAAATTAAATCCAACTGTTAAACTTTAACAACACATTTTTAAAAAATACTTACATATGTAATGAGGTTTGATCCAAAAACAATGGTCCCTATCTTTATAGGTTGACATAGGTTGTCAGAAGCAGATAACATGGTAGTAAGAACTGAACCATACTGTAATTTTTTACAGATAGCTGTTGAGTAGTAGTCTGGCAAAATGGCATATGACATTAAAGTGTTTACGAAGCAGAAGTGCAATGCTGAAAAATTTTGCACCCAATAACAATCAATGATGCTTGCTGAATGGTTATGGAGACCAAACAGGCAATGTGAGTACAGCTAAGGTATGGCTAATATGTTTCAGTAGTGGCAACAGCAATAAGTATAAAAATTGGGTCAGTTTCATCAATGAAATTTTTTTATGAGTTCCCACAGCCATGCATTTTCATTACCAATGAAGATGCATAGCTGAAAGGGAAAGGAACCCGTCCCCCACCAAAATAACTGCATTTTTGAAACTGAAAACTTTTTATATCCAACAATATTACTGTGTTTCTCTGTATTTGTTGTGGCAATAAATTGGAGGTATTACTTTTGGAGCATCCCTTGTATAATCAGTACTATTTACAGATGTCCATATATATATATATATATATATATATATATATAGTGAAAAATATATTAATGATGGTAGTCACACAAGGACATGAACAAACACATGGTAACAAGCTATAATAAGATGAACCAGAATTAGCAAAAGTTAATTAATAAAGCTCATTATCTTACTTTGTGCAACTCATTTGGTTAGATTTTGGGAAGTGGATTGGGCTGAGAACTTTTCAGCACCTCCTTGTACTTCTCCAGCTGAAATAAGACATCAACTTACATGCACAGTTCAGAATTAGACTTGATAGACAGTAGTTTGTAACATGGATATTCTGGTACAATTTATGCAAGGCAAAGACTAGATTTATGAAGTGATTGAACTCACTGGCAAAAGCATGCAAGACTAAATTGTCAACACTATAATTTTACGAGTACAATCTTAATGCTGTGGTTCTACCTACTCTGAATAGTTAAGATAGTAATATTTTAAATAAAACAAAAAAAAATCAGTAATAAAAAGAAATTTCTACAGAACTGAATTCATTTTC